TATTATTTATTTTAACAAATACTTATTTAGCTCCATGCTAAAGGATCTGAGTGACTTTGCACAAATGACTCTCAGTGTCTCTGTTCACTCATCTATGCAATGGAGATGGTAATAGTATCTACCTCATGGGGTTGTTGTGGGGACGGAAGGAGCTAATACATGTAAAACTCTTAGACTTAGTGCTTGCACATGGTAAGGGTTAAATAAATGTTAGCGATTCATGTTATTACCCTCAGTTATGTGCCAGACTTGTAGTATATAAACAGTAATAAGACATAGTTCCAGTTCTAGAAAATTTATGATGTAGCAGAGAGGATGAACAATAAACACGTAAATGAATATGCTTGATACGATCACAGAATTTGAAAAATGCTTTGAGTACATAAATGACTGACTGTCTTGGAATGGAAAATACATTCAAAATGAAAATAATCAGCCACCTAATCAAATCAAGTTCAGATAGTCATTTATTGTTTTTCAGTATTATTAATGTAATGATGCCTCCTATTCTTGGTGTCTGAAATTTGGAGCTCCCAGGGCTCAGGCCTGTGACCTTTATTCTTCTGTGTCCTGGCTCATTCCTAGGTGACCTCACCCTTTCATGAACTATAATGCTGAGTTCATGCCTCTGAGCCTAGCATCATGCCTGAACTCCCATATATGAGTACATCTAAATTCAAATTCTCCATTCTCAGCCACCCCAAACTGCTTTTCCCACAGTGCTCCCCAAGGCAAATCCCAAAACCAGTCATCCCTAAGAGCACAATGACGTCCTTCTACCTAGACTACTACAAGAGCTTCCTAAGGGATCACAGAGTTTCCACTCTTGCTCCCCGAGAACTATTCTCAGCACAGCTGCCAGGTGACCTTTACAAAACATTAATGATCCATAGCCTTCCTCTGCTTTAAACACTCCAGGGGGTTTCCTTCACCCTGTCCTTTTCATGGCCTATGAGGCCCGAGACGATCTGGCCCTGGACTGCCTCTCTGCCCTCCTCCCCTACCCTGCCCCCCTACTCTCTCTCTTGCTCCCTTCTTCAGCCACACCAACCTCCTTGCTGTCTCTTCAATAGACCAGTCAAGCTCTTACCTCATGGCCTTTGTACATGCTGTTCCCTCTGCCTGGACTATTCTTCCTCCAGATAGCCTCTTGGGTCTTTCTCTGACTTTATTCAAACGTCTGCTCAAATGCGAGCCTCCTAACTAAAACAGTACATACACTCCCACTCCAGTCTCTAACTGCTTTGCTCTGCTTTTTTTCCTAGTGCCTGACATTCTATTTTAGTGGTTTGTTGCCCTAGCTTGAATATAAGCCTTATGGGGCAGAGTCCTTGCCTCTTTTGGTCACAACCCCAGGGCCTAGAATGGTGTCTGACACACAGTAGATGCTCAATTGATATTTGATGGATGAATGAATAACTATTACCTTAATTTACTCAGAGTTTCACAGTTTACAAAGTAGTCACGTATACAGTATCTTAATGAGCTTTCTAAGAATTTGTGGGATAGGCTCTGTTATATCCATTTTATAGGTAAGTTCTAAGTCTGCTTACTATTTTTGAAGTTCCTTGTTCAAGGTCATGCAGCTCTTGTTCACATAGGTCAAACCCTGGTCTTTTGCCTTCAAACCCAGATAATCATAAAATATTATTAACAATAGTTAACAGTCTGCTAGTACTCCTTTTGACACTTGTAGTATCTCATTTAACAATGCTTTGAGGTAGGTACTCTTATGATTGCCATTTTACAGAGGAAGAAACTAAGTAACTTACCCAAGGTCACAGAGCTGCTAAGTGGTGCAGTCAGAATCTGGGTCCTGGATACTTGACTCCAAGGACTTGTTCTCCAACCAACTAGCCCACTAGGTACAGCCTGTGACGTGAAAAGAACTAAGTAAACTGTGGAACACAAATGCACAAATATCAAATTTGTTCTAGGACTTTCTGCCATTCTTTTTTGCTTTTGTTGCATTTAGCAGAAATTTTCCCTTTCTTTAAAATATAAAGTGGAGAGTTGTATCTCAGATGCACTTTACATTATGTTGTTTTCTGCTTTTCATCCATCTTTGAAATGTTTGAAACACTTGTTTCTGAATTGAGAGGTCACTTAGGATTCACAGGCAGGGCTCAGGGGTTTCCAGTATTTTGTCCTTCTGCCTCCTCCGGTAGCTTCGTGGTGCCTTCATGGCCAAGTGCACAGGCTGCTCTTCCCTCTGAGCTTCAGATTCCGCCTCCTCCTCCTCACCCCATGACATGCCTTGTTTCATAAATTCTCGCCTTCGGTATATTACATAACCTACATTGTGGAACACTCAATTTCTACTCCTTTCCTTTCCTTTCCTTTCTTTTTTTCAAAAGTAGGAATCTATTTGATTGGATGTGATGGCACCCGAGGCAGAAATGTGGCAAAATTTTAAGTGGTGAGAAATCTAACTCAGCTACCTGGATTTTGAGAAGCAAATTGTGATTCCCCGAATCACTTTGTATTGAACTGGACAAGTTAGATGAACTAAAATAGCTTTACTGGCTTGCTTCTTGTCTCCAGGTCAAGCAAGTATCTGCAAGGGCTGCCTATTTTCTTCTCTTTCTGGATATTCAAATTATTAACTTAAAAGCATGCATGAAGTTACACAAACACAGGTGGGTACCTTTAAAATATCAAACCCCTTAGATCTTAAATAAGCAAGCACTCATGTTGAAAAGCGAATCAAGTATTTTAATTGTTTCCTAGTTAGTTCTTTATAACATGAAGGTTCATAGCGTTTATCTGGGAATAGACTGAGTTCCTTCAGGGCAGCACATAATCTAGTCATCCAGGTATCCCCAACATCTGGCACATAGTAGGTGCTCACCAGAGTAGGTGCTTAACATGGTAGGCACCTGATAAATATACGTTGAAGCTCTAGTACTGTCTCTTATTGCCTACTTGCAGACTTGCCTCACACACTTTCCATGTGCAGGCATGTGCGTGCACACACACACACACACACAAGATTGTGAGCTCCTAGAGGAGAGGATCTGTGTCTTATTCATCTCTGCATTCTCTAATATAGGGCCACCAGATAGCAGGTGATAATTAAATGATCATTGAATTGAACAGCACAAGGATTTTAACTTGGGTTATTCGGTTCATCTGCCCTTCCCCCACCCCACCCTGTCCATTTGGCTCTCAGGCCAGACTGCCTAAAATCATCATATCAATCTAATCAAGTATTTGAAAGCCAGAGACCTTGAAATTATTTAAATCAAGTTCAGAATTACATTTTTAAATTTACTCCAGCCATCTCATAAGTAGATTTAGGAACTAGCTAACTGCCATCCCAGGAGGAAAAAAAAAAAAGGCATAAGCCTAATGAATGTGGTCAGATATACCGTGTAACAGATGTCCAACATGCTGCCATGAGCTTAAATCATAAATATGATGGCTCTGTTTGGCATAGCAAAATATATTAGAAGTGTTTTATCATAAGGTCACTGGGCAACTTGCTCGATGGGAGGGGAATGATCCTGAAAAATGCAGGAGCTCTGACTAGTAGCATCTCAGAAGGAGCCCTGGAGAAACACAGATAATCTGTTTGCAATGATTCATGAAGTTGGTCCTTTGTTTCCCTAATTTGAGTGTCAAGTGCAACCATACAATAAAGAATTGCCAAGACCCGATAAGATTCTCTTCTGGCTGCTGCTTTTCCTGACCTAACAACTGGGACTATTCATGCCTGGAGCACAAATTGAATAAATAGCTTCAAGGCTGGCAATGTTGGACCGTGTTTTGAATTTTTTGTTTTTCTTTAAAAGGCTAAATCCTATGTGTGTCTTGCCTTCCCCCAAACACATTGCATGGATAGTCACTGTGGTACCAATAATTTTAACTTTCTTAATACTAAGTATGGGGGGATGCCTCATAAGTTAAAAATAGTTCCTGTTGTATCATCAGTGGAGCAATGGATTACTGAAGATTAAAAAATGATTGTAATGCCTTTTTTGGCCTTGAGAAAGCTCTTATTGTGCCTATGGTTCAGTTAGCCTGCTGATCATTTCCATCTTAATGTAATCTTTAACATTATGCTGCTACAGGTGAGGTGTTAATACATTAACACAACTACTCTCGCTGAGCAATTTCACAAGAAATATGTCTTTAACTAAATTAGACATTTAACAAATGCCATTTGTAATTCAGCGCAGGGAGGAGAATGTCCTTAAAACAAGCTCTTGATGTGAACTCCCCAACATAAGACAATAATTTTTTAAAAATTTTAATCGACATTCTAATGTGAAATTATGTACTGTCAGTGCAGTAGACCAATATAAGGAGAACCCCAAAGTCCTTAGGAATCTTAAAAAATAAGCAGTAAGCAGTTTTATCTCTAGCAGCCAGAAATCTTTCCTCACAATTAGGAAGAATCTACAGGTCCAGTTAATCATGTGGCATTGATGTGCGGAATGTATCTAACACTTTAAAATCATTTAGATGAATGCTAGAAACCTCAAAGTTCTGTGAGAAATATAAATTGTAATATTTAAAACAAGTAAATGAATTAAATAATTTAGATGAAGATTTAGATATAAAGGTTGCATGAGAGTAACTGGATTTAAAAAGTAAAATAAAGGGGAATATCAGAAAGCCTACAATCGGACAACTGAAATAATTTTTTGGAAAAATTATTTCCTGACAGATTTCCCCATGCTATGAACATAAATGCAAAAACTATAAATAGGGCCACTGACATTTGGGCAGTTGACTTGTTTTTATCAAAATTACAAAACAGAATTTAGTTTGCAGATTTTCAAATGGCTATGATGTTCTGAATCCGATTGGGTTCTCCTTCCTTTTTACTTGATGACTTCATAAAAGATAAATAAGCCCTCGGACCAATAGGTGGGTACCACTAGCACGGTTAACTCTCTCGCCCCAGAAATTCCACTAGGCTGAAAAGATTATTATTTGGGGGTGGGAAGGGGGGGATGCAGAGGTCTTTAGGACCCAGCAGGCGGCGGCAGGCGGCAGTTGTGTAGATCACTGAGAGACTACGAGGGTCCGGTTCAGTTTTAATTCTGTCTCTAATCTCTGCAACAGCCGCGCTTCCTGGGTCCCGCGGCTCTCCTACCCACTCAGCCGCCGCCAGGGGCCGGGCGAAAATCAGAGCCGCCTGCCCCGCATCACCCACCATGGAAACCTTCCAAGAAAAAGTGGCTCCGGACGCGTGTGCCTGAGGATTCCTCACAAAAGAGGTGCCCAAAATGAAGACCCTGATGGTGAGTCATTTGTGGCAACTCCTCTGGGCAGAGGCGGAGACCCCCAGACGCAGCGTCCCCGGGGCGCACCGGAGAGCTCCAGAGGCGCCGAACCCTGCGCCGCGAGGTCGCCTGTTACAAAGGGACAACTTTCCACCTGCTCCGTGTCCCCTTCCGGTTCTCTGGTTCTGCCTGGCTGGGAATCCCAGAGCCGGGCTGGGAACTCGGGTTGCCTCGGCTTCTGGATCTCAGGCGAGAGGTCTGGGGACCCATGGAGAGCTGGAGAAGCGGTGGAGGGGTGGGCGCGTGGCTCGGGGGATGGGGGGTGCCCAAAAGCAACAGCCTGGCAAAAAACTAAGAGGGGCGGGGAAGGGGGGATCTTTGCAGACTTTCTTGGTTTTCTTGTCGGATTTCAAACTTGCAAGAATCGCCGAGGTAGAGCCCCGCGGGTCCAGAAAGGGCCGGGTGCAAGGGCTAGAGGTTCCAGCAGCCGAGCTGGGGGAGGGAGGCCTCTCCTCAAAGTACGAGCCCACCTCTGCCCTCGCCGCCGGCGCGCTTTCCCTCGCGTAGCCGGGCGCCGCGCACCACCTGCCCTCTGCCGAGAGATCTGGGAGGTGGCGTGGGCCGAGAGCAGCTACGCTCCGGGGCATCGCCTGCCGTACGCGCGGGGACGGTGCCTCCCCTGCCCCGGCTGCGCGCGGGGGACTAGGACGCGGGCCACCTCCCTCCAGCCTCGGACCTCCCCCGCGCGTCTCACCGTCTCGCGCGTGTCCCCGCCGGCGCGCTCCTCCGGGGTTGGCTCTCAGCGACTCTCCTCTGCTCTCTCCCGCCCGCCCGCAGCGCCATGGTCTGGCTGTGTGTTTAGCGCTCACCACCATGTGCACCAGCTTGTTGCTCGTGTACAGCAGCCTCGGCGGCCAGAAGGAGCGGCCCCCGCAGCAGCAGCAGGCAGCGGCGACCGGCAGCGCGCAGCCGTCGGCGGAGAGCAGCCCCCCCTCGAGGTCCCGGACCCCCGCGGGACCGCAGCCGCTGGACGGATACCTCGGCGTGAGGGACCACAAGGTGACAGCTCGCTTGCCAGCGCGCACGCCACCCAGCCTGGGGATCCCGCACACCTGAGCCTGCCCCTTTCCCGGGGCTGGGAGGCGCCGTGAGTAGGTGCCATTCGGAGGCTGGAAGGGGGAGCGGACCCACTGGGGTGGGGTGGGGTGGGATAGTTCCTTCTTGCTATGAATTCCCGTTTGGAGTCGGAGGTAAAGTTTTTCGGGGAATAGGGGTGAGACGAGTGGACCCAAAGCCCCATTTCCTAACAGGAACCGACCCTGGAAGTAGAACCTTCTGGTCCCCAGAATTGCAGCCGCGGGTGGGTGCTGGGTGCCTGAAGCGTCTGGTTTGGCCGCCCAGTCGCGCCCTGGTGGGAGGAGAGCCGGGATGGCGCGAGTAACGGCCGGAGCATTGCCCCGCCGGGAACTGGAGGGTGAGTAGCAGCCAGTCCGCGGCCGCTGCTCGAAGATTCCCCTCTGATCTCGGCGCTTCGGATTGCTCTGGGCAGAATTACCACAGCCTTGGGGAGCGGTCCCAGACAGGCGCGGAAGGCTGGAGGCACAAACTCAGCTTTCACTGGCTTGTAACTCATCGTTGAGGGCCTGTTTTCCTCTGCCTTCCGGGAAGCCGTTGCATGGCTTGTCTAATAATTAATAAGATGATCTTTTTTTTAATTGAGCCTCCTTTCCCCCAAATAATAAATCTCCGGTTTCAGTGTGCGAAGCCTCTGGGAGAATTCTAATCAAGTTTCCTGATTCTGAAAAGATCTTTTAATACAGTTTGAATATATTCCCCATTATTTGAAGCTGCTAATACGTTTTTATTAAAACACAATTCCACTCTGTATCTGCTCTATAAAGGTTAGAGGATTTCTTGAAACCACCCAGCTATTCTGCATTTTACATTACTAGATTTTATGCTTGTGAACCAAAGTATTATTTAGCTGGTGGTCCTTTTGCTGAAAAGATGGGTCTTACCGTTCATGAAAAAGTCAAACTTCTTTTTAAGTGGCAATCAAAATATTTCCACTCATTTGTGCAATGCATATTGCAGAAAGGATTTTGGAGGGTAAAAATTTAAGGCAGGACCCAGCTGCTAGGGATCCTTGAATGCTTGTGGGGAAAAAAAACAACATACCATGAAATGTGGATGGATGGATAGATAGGCCAATAGGTATAATGTATAAGAAATGCTAGGTATAAAACAGTACTGTTAGGGTACAGAAATGAGAAACATCACTGCCCTGGAAGGTTTAAGGAAATTCTCTCTGAAAAGGTAGACTTTGCACTGGGGAAAATTTGGGGAAGCAGAAAAAAGGAAGGGATTTCTTCAGGAAGTGATTTGGGGAGTGCAGAGGGGGCTCCTGGTAGAATCTTGAAATCAAAAGTAGAGAGGGTCATCAGTTTTTCAATAACAGCTTCACTTTCTTCTTTAAGATGTTGATCGATTACTCTTTGTGCAAGCAACCTATAAGGGCTGGAGTTCTAGAAAAGTTTAGACATCGGCTTCTGAGTGGATGGATGTGGTGTTTATGTGTAACTGGTATAGGATGAATATATTGAACTTGGTGGATTTTCATGGTGGTGTTTAGTGGAGATGGCTGTATAGCACTTGTGAAGCTTTGATTAATGGGGTGTCAAAAGGTAAATTTGCTGGAAGCTTTGATCTGCCTTTGGAATGGTATTCCCAATACTTTCCTTCCTGTGTTCTGCTGGATGGACCACAGCTGAGAATATTGATAGCATAAGACAAAATATGATGCCCTCGTGTTTGTTTTCAAAAATAGTGTTTATTCACACAAATATATTGGATTCCATTTTCAGTGTATCAGAGTACTATTCATTAAAATGAAAAACAGCCCCTTTTTGAAAGGAATGTTGAAACTCAATATGAGAAATCACGATAATCTATAGTAAAGGGTTTTATAAACTGTGAAGTGTTATATGGATGATAAACGTGTGAAAGTCCTTGGAATTCTTAGAGAATTATAAATGCGACCAGGAAGGTCTTTGCATCTAATGAATACCAGTGGAATTTTTTCAAAGAAAACCAACGTGTCATCAAATTCCATACTCCAAGGATTCAACAGAGTTTACCCCACCCCAAGCAAAAGAACAAATGCAAATCTTAAAATCTATGTCTCTTCTGTAGGCATTATCCCAATTGTCCCACTGAACCACATGTAAACTTCTACTCAAAGTGTCATCATTTTACTGCTATTATTTACCTGGCTAGAAATTGGGTGAAGTTTCATTTCTGATGGCTATAGGGAGGTACATGTAGTGTTCATGTCCTCTCCAAAAGTTGCTATTTACTTAGGTTTACTTAAGATCTTCCTATAGTCTTGCTTAGGCAGAGGTGGAAATTTGTTAGAATATTGCTAGGATTTTTTTTTTTCCAGATTAACCCAGGGGAGGGTAAGAAATCAGGATTTTCTACACTTACTATGTTGTTAGATGATACCTTGATTGCTTTTTTTTTTTCACTCTCATATCAGGCCTTAGAAAAATTATAGGATGTGCTGGATGTGATGACCACCAAGCCGTATGCTACTGCATACTGAATCAGAATTCCAAGAGACTTTTTATTTGCCATTGATTTACAGAATCTGGAGAGAGTTACAGATACTATATAGGAAAATGTTCACATCTCCATTGCTGGAGGTCCCAAAGTCTGATAAATATGTAGTGTTTATGTTCAGTTACATGATGGTATTAACATTATAACTCTAAGATTAAATTCAACAGGTGGTGCTAATCCCCAGCACCTGAATTTCTCAAATTACAGCCTGTCTGCAATGATTGTCTTGTCTCATACGGCTGCAGACTAAATTACTGTTGAGATTAAATCACTATGTGCTTTTGTTGAAAGACATGCTGCAAGTCAAGCCGGTGATGAGTAATGTGTGTTGAAGCTTAAAATATCACTTTCCATGGTCATATTCTCTACTTCCTTGTTCACAAACGATGTGAGCTGAAATTGTAATTCCAGTGTGACTGAGTGAAGGCTACTTGGAGTTTCTTGTGATAATGAAGACATTTCATTTTCTGTTAGAAAGATTCTTTCGCTTCATTTCCAACCCTTTTCCCCAGACCTTTTCCCACAAACGTTTCACCAACTCATTTCAATCTTGCTCATGTCTATCACTGCAGGTACTGTATCTCTATCCTGCCATTACTGTTCTGGTCCCCAGTTTTGGAGCTACTGATTTCTAACCAGATCAGCCAGACAACAAGAAAAGAAGTCAATTTTCATGGCTTTGGAAACCTTCTGTATTTAGAACTACAGCATAGTGTATAACCAAACTAAAGCACGTGGGTGCACGTGCATGCACGCGCGCGTACACACACACACACCCACTCACACACACAGGCACAAACACTGAATCAAGCAACCTTCGGAGAGAAGCTCCATTTCTCCCAGCAGAGTGGAAGGCGGCATGGAGTGTATTCTGTTTCCAGCCTGGATCTGGTCTGGGCAGATAAAGTCATTTGCCATCTGGTGGACCCTGTGAAATGAAACTATGAGCCGATTGCCATTTCCAGTGGACAGGAGCCCTTATCACAGGAGGCCCACTTGTCACCTGGGCTGCCCTTTTCTGAGATGGCTTATGAAAGAGCAGTGATCAATGGGGTCTGAAGCTGAGCTGCTATCTCCTTGCTTCAGTAGTAGCTCCCAGGAGTGGATTTTACACATACTAATAACATGCTTGTCCTTGGTTCTTTCCTTCCTTAAGCACTCGGTTATTCAGACAAAACAGAACTGCTTGGAGGTAACAGTATGTTTGCTATTAATTCACAGATGTCCAGTTGAAGTGATAGGACAAGTCAATGCGAGAGTTGAAAAATAATTCAAAACCAGAAAAAAAGGTGCATGCCATATAACTTACTTTGGAATTATGGCATAAGTATTCTTCCTTTTAAAAAGTATATAAACTCTCAAATATAAGTTTGCACAATTTATTAGACCCCATTTTATAATATTTGAGGCAGCCAATCAACAATAGATAACTCGGATCTCAAAATCAAAGTGAGCTAATTTTCAGTGCTCAGGTACTAACAAAATGTAATCTGCCAATGGTGATAAGACCCTGTTATCACAAATCGTCAACCAAAAGGAATTATAAAATGAACTATTTTTCATGGGTGAGGAGTTGCAATAATGTGGTTGCTTTTAACAGGAGAAATGTTCATATAATATTTGTTATAATACATAACCTTAATTCTGAGAGCCAGGAGTGTTTCTCCAGCTTTCCAAGGAGTAATGCCAAGATACCCCCATGCCAAAGTCCAGACCACACCTGGTAAATGAGTCTGAGCTGGCTCCCTCTCCATTTCTGGGCATTCTGTCCTCTTTGCTCATCCTTGAAAACTCATTGTGCCTCAGGACCTTTGCACTTGCTGTCCCCTCTCCCTGGAAAACTCTTGCCCAAGATTTTGTATATGGTTAGCTCCTTCTGGTCATTCAGTCCTCAGATCACATGTCATCTTCTTCTGGACCACACTCTTTGTTAAATAGCTCTCTCCTTAACAGTCATGCTCTATCATATTAGCCTGTTTTATTTTCCTTGTACTAGTTAACAATATCTGAATGAATCTTAAAGGTGTCTTTTCTATTGTTTGTCTTCCCCGCCAAGTAGAATCTAAGTGCTGTGATAGCAAAGTATTTGTACATCTTGTTGGCCAGTCTAACTCCAGGCCCTAGAATAATACTTGACACTTAATGAGCACACAGCAAGTATTTATTGAAGGAAAGAAGAAAGGAGAGGAGATTGTGGAGAGGGACAAAGTTACCTCACCTTATGCAAAGTCCTTTCTCTATAATAAACCACAATGCAGTCCCAAGGCCCTGGTATGTCTCATCTTTCCTAATTTGGTTTACTACTACTACACTACTAGTAATAATAATGGAAGGAAGATGAAGAAATGATTTAAAACAAGAGTCTTTTGGAATGAGATTTAGGAGTTTACATTTTAACAGACTTCCCTTACAACTCTTGTGCACATTAAAGTTTGAGAATCATCATTTGAAATGTTTTTAATCATCATAATGTGTAGTTCTGTAGCTAATTTGTT